CTTCCTCCCAACACTAAGTCTTTAATCCAGCCCATGGACCAGGGTTGATTTGCAATGTGAAGCTGCATTCTCAACAAAAAATTTCAGCTCCTGAGCGACTACACCAACACCAGGGAAGGATGCGTAACCTGGTGACTTACCACCACCACGATAGCAAGGCGGCGAAGAAGATGAGGATCAACAGTTAGAACAGCAAAAATACTCTTCAAACAATTCTGGAGAGTATTTAACATCAAGAAAGCTGTGGACTTCTTGGTGGAGTCATGGGATCCAGCTGTCTATTGCTACAATTCGTCGCATGGAGACATGTGTTGCATGTGGAATACCAGGTGAGAGGGAGGGAGTCAATCTGTGACTGGTGAGGGTTCAGAATATTTGCAGTAGCAGTGGACCTTGCCAGAGAAGCTGCGCGAACTGTTACAGTTCAGGCTTCTCGAGACCACCAGCGACGCGACATCTGGAGGTGATCAGAGATCCTGAAGTGACTGCGGCAGATGTTGGAAGAAGAACACGTCAGTGAAGAGGAGGAAGAAGGTCGCGTTATTCTCCGAAGAGTACAATTTAAGAGATCATCGTGATAAGGGTGCCATGGGTGTGCAGAAGATGAAGTCCTTCCTTTCCCATGACAATAGCGATGACGCTATGAAGTCTTCCATACCGGCTGGTGCGAGGCTATGGGCCGTACATCAAGGTGTATCGCGACAACATCAGCGCCAGCCGTCAGTAAAGCATAACAGATTTCTTAGCCCTCAACCCACCACAGCCAGCCCAAGCCAGTGATAGTGGCAGTGAAGATGACTTTGAGGGATTTGTCAGGGAAGCCTGACAGCTCTACTAAAGTGACAGTGATGGTGATTCACCTGTGTAGTGATTCACCTGAGGTATTAATCTGCCCTCTGCCTGGAACCAGCCTCCATCCCGTATGCCGACCCATCTCTTCTACTACACGTAGTTACACCTAATTTTTAGTTTTTCTAACCTTACCTTTATTTTTTTCCTATGTTAACCTTTATCTTTCCTAACTAACCTCTTCTATATTACTTGTTTTCATACCATCATAAAGTTAAGAGAAAATTTTACTACAACATAGTTGTGTGTAGATCAAAAGTGGAGTTTGGGGATGGCCGGACTCATTCAGTAATCCCATATGTTATGTTATTCACTTTCTGCGTTCCTCACATTCCGGTACCCTCGGGTTACATTAACATGCGTAAAGTAGAGGAGTTAGCACAATAATATAACAACTTATATATATATATATATATATATATAATATATATATATATATATATATATATATATATATATATATATATATATATATATATATATATATATATATATATATATATATATATATATATATATATATATATATTAAAAAATTATTTAAGCAAAAAAAAAAACATTCCACTGAGAGCCGGGGTAACATGGATGATCCAGGAAACCAGAAAATCCAGTCTTGGTCTAGGATTTGAGGGTCTACACTTGTACTATAGTAATAATTTAACTAATACTGTACAGTATGTACTACTGTATAATAAAAATACTAAAAAATAATAGTAAATTACAACGCATACTGTATTAAGGTAGTGCCCCTCCTCTACACCTTTTTTTCATACAAACTGTGATTCAATGTGTCACTCACCAGTACTTCCTCCTACAGGAACAGGTAGCAGCCATGAACAAGCACCTGGCTGAGGTAACGGACCTTCACCAGGAGAAGGAGGAGAAGAGGCTCCTGAACACAATGCTGGCAATCATCCTTATAGTGGTCTTGTCTCTCTTCATCTATTTCTCCATCAACCCCTTCACTGAGGAAGAGGTGCATCACTTACAGAGGAAAAAGCTAAAGGAACTTGGCTATGAAAACATTATTTAACCCCCTGAGGGAATCATCAGGTTTCCTGGACATTCTCTATTTGGTACTGTAGTTGCAATTTTGCAATGAAAAAGGGCAATAATATATCTTGAAACTTTTTTATAACTTGACATATCTAAAATGTATGCAATTTCCATTTTCGGCATTCATATTTCTTGGAAATATAATCTTATCATCTTGTAAAACAATGTTAAGTCATTTTTATAAAAGCTGGTACTGTATTTGCTCACCTCTATTGTTTCTAATGGGGCAAAACTAAATCAGAAGCAAGTTTATTATATAACACATCATAATTATATTCAATAATGTTGCCAAGTTTTTATTTACAGAAAATGGTAGATTGAATACAGTATGAGAGGATTTTTTTTAACTGTCTAAAAGTAATGTTGCTAAAGTAACAATGATGTGACCGTTACACCCAAAGGGTTAATGCTGTTGTGGGGTATGGGATGTTTGGTTCTCACTCAGGATGGGATGGAGAAAGGAAACTCACAATGTGCTCTCTGTATACATGTTGTATTGGATGTACAATGCAGCTTGGTGCTGGGAAGTGGCAGCGTGGTTACAAGCGTGATGTAGAGAGAGCTGGTTGGCGAGGATGCTCAGAGGAGGACCAGCTTGTGGGTCGCCATGCTCGCCGGCGGGAGCGAGGACCGCCAGGCAGCGGCGGAGGAGGTGGTATAGCTTGCTGCGGCTGTAGCTAGAAGAAGAGAGAGCTGGTTGGTGAGGATGCTCAGAGGAGGACCAGCTTGTGGGTCACCATGCTCTCCGGCGGGAGCGAGGACCGCCAGGCAGGCGGAGGAGGAGGAGGTGTTGCTGGCTGGTTGGTGTAGGTAGAAAGAGACAGGTCACCACGAGGTCAGGTCTTTTATAGCGAAGGTAGGCGTGGGTAGATAGTTGACCCCCGCTCCGTGGGCGTCGCTGGTTGACCTAGACCACGAGGCATCCACTGGGGAATTCGCGGGGTCGGCTACGCAGCGATAAACAGCGTTTGTAGGGGAGAAATCCACTACAATACTCCCTCCTTCCCTCCAGGCAGTGTAGGAGACTTGTTGTCTGCAGGGGTGCATGGCACATGTGAGGCAGAACGGGCGGTGCATGCCACATGTGAGCCATAACTGCAAGGGCGTGGATGAGCCGGTGGCTAGAAGAGACAACTGTCTAGATACACAATATCTGTGGGAGTAGAGAGGGAGAAAAAGGGTGTGTGGAGGCGATGAATGTTGTGCTTCCCTCACGGCAGGTACAGAGTCGTCAGATGCACCTGTTGGGGTGTGTGGGCCTGGGTCAGGAGCAGGGGCTGCGTCAGCAGAAGCGGATGAGGGCTCGTGACAGCAGCTGGGTCCACTACAGCAGCAGGGTACAGGACAGTATCAGGGGGGTACCTAAGGGAGAAAAGAGGGGTGCGTGGGTCCGCACTCAGACGCATGGGCCGCGTCGGGAGCAGGGGCTCCATTAGGAGCGGCAGGGGGTACTGCTGGGCCGGGGGCGGCGTCTGAGGCAGGACGGGTGTGTTGGGGTCGGTAGGACGTGGTGCTTGGGGCAGGAAGAGGAGCTGGTGTCTGCTTAGAGAAGCAGTGCTGCTCGAGGGTGTCTAACCTGCGGTGTAGAGCCGATGAGAGCTGCTTCTGGGTGGATAAGCCAGTCTTCCATGTTGCTTGAAGACTGGGAGAGTGATCGGTTTCTCCTCCATCCTATGTGAGTGCGAATCTCCGGGGGTCACCATTTGTGGGGTATGGGATGTTTGGTTCTCATTCAGGATGGGATGGAGAAAGGAAACTCACAATGTGCTCTCTGTATACATGTTGTATTGGATGTACAATGCAGCTTGGTGCTGGGAAGTGGCAGCGTGGTTACAAGCGTGATGTAGAGAGAGCTGGTTGGTGAGGATGCTCAGAGGAGGACCAGCTTGTGGGTCGCCATGCTCGCCGGCGGGAGAGAGGGCCGCCAGGCAGCGGCGGAGGAGGTGGTATAGCTTGCTGTGGCTGTAGCTAGAAGAAGAGAGAGCTGGTTGGTGAGGATGCTCAGAGGAGGACCAGCTTGTGGGTCGCCATGCTCTCCGGCGGGAGCGAGGACCGCCAGGCAGGCGGAGGAGGAGGAGGTGTTGCTGGCTGGTTGGTGTAGGTAGAAAGAGACAGGTCACCACAAGGTCAGGTCTTTTATAGCGGAGGTAGGCGTGGGTAGATAGTTGACCCCCGCTCCGTGGGCGGCGCTGGTTGACTTAGACCACGAGGCATCCACTGGGGAATTCGCGGGGTCGGCTACGCAGCGACAAACAGCGTTTGTAGGGGAGAAATCGACTACACTGTCACCTCCTGTAATTGTATTACTACTGCACGCAGCCCCTACATATGGAGTGAGGGTGTAGTGTAGTGTCACTCTGGATGAGGAGCCTGCAGGCTGCAATAGGACTCATACAGTGCCTGGGTAGGTGGGAGGGCAAATACAAGGAAACAACACTTCTTTACAGAGCTCAAGCTGTGGAATCAAAAAAGTACTGGGCTTCAAAATACAGTAGTCCTTGACGAGACTATCAAGAACAATGCAGGGATCCTACATATGAGCCACTGGCCTTCTTCCCTTGACATGGCCACCCCTAGTTTGAGCAGGCATTAGGTAAATAAGGTAAAAAGAAATACCTATATTACATACCACATTATAGTAAATCTAGGTACAAGTGAAGGACACTTTCATAGCCTTGTTCCAATAAATTTTAGGGTCAGGGTGGCTGTGAAAGTATCACCTTTGAGGAATACATTACAAAGTAGAACATTTGCATACAGTGTGTAATATACAGTAGGAGTCAAAAGTGTTAAACACTTAGCAATATCTGGCATCTACTTCTGAGTTATACACATATGATTGGGATATACTAATAACACTACTTGTCATCACATGTTATGCCTGAACCACAAAATGGGATAAAACTCTCCTTAATACTGAAGACCTTCGGGTACTTACATGCCAAATACTGTCAAGTGTTTGAGACTTTTGACCGCAATTGTACATTGCAGCTATTTATCTAATATTGTAATAAGTAATTTGGTATCTTTGTATGTCATGTTGATACAGTAGATGTTCATAATGGACTTGTGTCTACAATTTTATATGTAGTGGGCATAAGTATTTTGTATTTGTCCTTGAGTGTGAAGGCTGAACTACTTTGTGTGTTGGTTGGTTGCCACAGGCTGGTGTGCATAGGTTGCCAGATGATGTGGTGAGGTTAATTATATATTAATGTGAAGCACAGTGAAGTGTGTGGTGTTAACTATCTGTACAGTTATTAATATTCTAGGTTTAATAATTTGAATATTTATTCAGTAAAATCATCATACAGTACTGTACAAGTTGATTGAAAATATCTAGAGGTGCCACCAGACTGGTACTTGTACTCTGGCACCTCAGGTACCCAGAGATTAGAATGCCTGCAATTCCTTTGCTTATACTATAAGCAGACAAGGGGTAACTTTATAAAAGTCTATAAGCACATCGGAGGACATTACAAAGTCGAATGCTCATTCCTGAAACTAGTGGATGTCTGCCCCACTTAAGGTAACAGCCTCAGGTTAAGGAAGTCATAAATTCAGAAAATTGTCATGGCAAACTTTTATGGAGTGACAGTTGTGAAGTCTTGGAACAATCTGCCAGAAAGCTTTGTGATGGCACCAAATGTGAGCTCATTCAAAAACAGACTCGACCAATATTGATGCAGGTACAGATACATTCTGGAACCAGTGCTTGCCCAGTACTTATCAATGCTGTAGTGCGTAATAGAGAGTTGAACGACTTCCCAAGTGGCTAACAGATGATCAGTGGCAGAGAGAATAAAGTACAGTAGTGCATAGCTTAGGTTAGGCTGCATCAACCATTTGAATTATTCCACAAAAATGCACACAAAGTAAGAGCAACTGCCCAATCCACTAATTTGTTGATAGAAGATAGACTAGTTCAAGGAGGATTTTTAAGAAGGATTGTGTTGTGAGTGACAGCAGACAGTAGTCAATCTTATTCAAGGTCCGACCAACTATACTACCGAGTACTCTATAGAATTTCTTGTATATTTTTATATCCACCATGAATAGTTTTATTAGTACAGTACAGTATATGTTTTTGATGCATGTATCATGTGTACAGTCTCATACTGTACATCATTCATGGGTAAGAAAGAGCACCACAGTACGTATTGCAAATATCTATTTATTTGAATCATGTTATACTGAACACTTAGAGAGCTGCTTCTTACAGCACTATTTTCCAAGAATGTATACAGAATGTTAAGATACAATACATACCTAAGTTGAATTAGTGCTACTACAATTTTATATTTAAATGAAAGCTAGTGATCATCTTACAAACCTGCTCTCTCAGCTTATGAGTACTTTGAAACAAGATAGCAGCTGTGACATGATGCATCCAACTCATACCTAAAAAATTGGTTCTATAAACACTACAGGACACTCATCTATCAAGCTACACCATACTACCACTCAATTTTAAAACCTCTACAGATGTCCTCTATCATCCTTAAGAGGGCAAAAGACTAGATACCAAGATTCAACATTACAGAATTCAAGAGGATTTATAGTTGCCTCCACACGAGCATACCAAAGTGTATGTGAGGGCTTGGGTACGAGATGTAGCAACACAGCACTAGTCAGGGCTGAATGAATGGGCGTGAAACAGTGAAATTACCATTTGAGTGGCCACACATCAATGCTGAAGCACACTTATCATATGGATGCTTTGCAGTATTTGTTTGTCATTATTGTTTTTATATTACTTATTAAACTATGGCACTGCATTGTCACATCTTGTACTTGTGCCCTCACACACTCCCAGGGCATGGCACATTCACATGGAGGCAACTGTACCTTAGTTTTATTAATACTACAGTAATATCAAAGTGCACTATGTGACCCAACAAGTGACTCAGGTGGTTTAAGGCGATTGTATTCCATTGTTTCTGGAACTTTAACATTAAATCACTCCTTCTGATGGTGTTTTGCCGGTAGAGTACTGTTGTCTTATCTAAATAGGAGGCTGATAACTTCATTACCAAATACTTCATATGGAATTTGGAACTGCATTGCACACGAAGGAACCATGAAGGAACCTTAACCTAATGTTCGGTTCGAGCCACCTTCATGTTCTTTAACAGCATAGCAGTAAAGAGCAATACGTGTGCCCGAGATATCTATGAAGTTTGGACGACAGGGGAGGGGGTTATCCGAAATTGTGCCATTGAGGGTGCAAGTAGCGTTGAAAACAGTCATGTTGCCCACAGTCACACCCTCGAAGGTGAAGGGGCACTCCGTTGTCCAGCTTGACTGTAGGCAGAAGTTCATTTGGATTACCCAACAGTGGACTTTGAGTTTGAGGTCAACCAACCACACAGCCTTTTGTTTCACAGGTTAAAAAGCAGCCAATCAAAAGCGAGCACACGAACAATTTAAACAAAATTAACAGTTTCCTTTAAGTCCCAGACTGAAAAATAGTCAATCACATACTGTAACTATGGTACAACATCTATTTTCTGACCTATTCCTGGTTTAGAATATTTGGCCTTAAAAAATCCCTTGAACATGTGTGGAAGGATTACAGTAATTGGCAGTAAATTTTTGTTAGAATAGAGTGACGAGGCTGTACAGAAATGACTGTCCGAGTTCTTGCAGTATCACTATACTGTACTGAATTATATATGGTAGACTACAACTCCACCATGAAAACCTATTATCCAGTGAGACTGTGGATATTAAGGCAACGAAATGGCCCCAGGGAGGGAAGTTGTTGCCACAGAGGAGGGGGGGGGGGGGAGGCTAAGACAAGTGGACTTCCCTTTCCACCAGGGTTTATAGTAGAAGTGTGTAACAAGCTGTTAGGATACAGTAAGTGTACAGTATAATAACTGAAATGGGGATACATAGAAAGTACAATAGGTACTACAGTAATTCTCAATGCAATTAAGTGACAAGGTATCTACCGAGATACTAGTACGTTGCATAGCAACTGACCCAAAATTGACTATGTTACAGTGCAACTAAGTGAAACAGGGGCAATGACTAACAATACAATTTGCTAATTACAAAAGTACAGTCACCCAAAAGTGAACTAACCTGAGGGTTGCTGACGTTCCATAAACTTTGCTGGCAGTCAACTGTAGAGGATCAGAATCAGATATTTTTAGCAAAAGAACATTTACATGTACAGTACAAATTTAGATATAGTTACTGGTGTAGCAACTTAAATGTGTTAATAGATTGATACTATATGCTACCCATCAATTATCAGCTAATGTTGAAAAGTTTTCTGCTAACTTTTCCAGAAACTAAGACTTATCTACAGCATTTAAAGCTGTGGCTCTTATACCCAAGGTATATATGGTTGAGGTTAATTTACAGATCATGCTAGAAAAACTGTGTTCTCTGCTTCAGGGATAGAAAATGAGATAACCTAAAATAATCTAATCATACCCAAGTAATTAAACGTCATCCTACCCAAGAGAATCCAAACCTAGTACATACCTTCCTTCACCCACCCCAAGAGGGAGAGGTTCTACATTTACAGTACAGTACTGTACTGTACTACTGTATACTAATTTTCCAAAAAAGGTGCACTAAAAGAACTAAATGCTATTAAAAACTGGCTCCTATACAGCAGGTGACCTAACTTACTACTCTATGTCTCTTGATACAGTATTAATTAATTAATTTAGTTATTTACCTGTATCTATCATTATGTCTCTTTGCAGAAACTTTACCTTATTCTGAACACTGTTTGAGTAAGGTTAGAAATATTCTTATCCTTCTTTTTCAGTAACAAGTTGTGAGTTTGTTGAGGTTTCAAAAAAATTTGTAGGATACATTACATCCTAATGTCATCCAGAAGTGGATAGTATATTTTCTTATATTCCAGAAATACAATGATCGCCCAAACAGTTTAATTTTTCTAGTCGAATCATTGCATCCCATAGCCCAGCACCTTTACATAACTAGGTTAGGCCAAGTTAGGTGAGCCAATTGCGCATGTTATGAAATTGACACATTGGTAAGATTTACCATATGAATTTACTGTAAATTATAAGTTGGGTTAGAAAGTTGTGCACGTGATGAAATACACATTGATACAACTACATTGCTAAGAATTACCATAAAATTTACTGTAAATTATAGGTTACCAGGTAGGTGGGCTGGACTTGTCTGATTTGTCTATGGCCCTGCTAAAGGTCCCTGCTACAATTTTCCCACTACTGTATAATGTTTGTTACTAATCACATAAAGTAAACATCAATTTTATTTATTTTGTTAAACATTTTGGGTATGCAGTACAGTGCTGCATGGTAATACCAAATCTATATACTGTACTTTACTTAGGGTATACTGGATGTTAAAACAAAATCTATACAGTACAAAATTTCTTCAGCTCATCAATATTATTATACCATCATATTTCCAAAAACACCAAATTGGGAATACTGACCAGTTACCATGAGAAGGCTGTATGGGTCTGGGAGTTGTATAGTACTGTATAATGTAGATATCTACCGAGCTTCAAGAACAAACCAGTACGTACTGTATTATTAGTATCGGTATCTGGCAAGTAACACAAATTGGTATGCACAAGTTATGTAATTATATTACCTCAAGAAAACAGTACAGTATTGGAGTGCAAGAAAAAGTACTGTATTAACTTTTGGTATAAAGATATACTATAAGACAAAAAGGTAGAATGAACTCACAGGGGATTGGAAGGACTTGGTGGAAGCATAGGAAAATGATAAGGCTGGCCAACCCCACACAAGTCTGTTATGCATATGCATCTGAAAAAAAAAAAATTTCATTCAAGAATAAAAACGAAAGAAATATAAAGTAAGAATGTTGATAGAGTAAAACATAATAAATAAGAGTTCAAAACTATAATAATGTAAGTGTATTCACAACAGCAGACCATTTTAAGACAAGTACAGTACAGGTACTTTTGTAGTGGACTCCATCCCCTACAGGGGACGACTGAGCTCCCGCGCGCCTACCAGCCAGCGGTGCCGGTAGACCTACTCTCCAGTGCAGAAGCACACGTAGCAACGCTAGGACCAGAGTGCCGGGTGTGCCTGGCCTCCTCCTCTGTGATTGGCCCTCTCGCTACGCTCACCCCAAATCCTGATCCTCGTAAATTGTATAAATACGGCCATGGCTGGCCAGGGAGACTGGGGGCGCTTGTGGTAGAGGCGGTACCGCTCTTGCCTCGCAAGCAAGATGTCACGGGTTTGATTCCCGGGCAGGCGGAAGTTGTTTGGACACTTCCTAGCCCCCCTTAGTCCTTGTTCACCTAGCAGTAAGTAGGTACCTGTTGTAAATCGAAAGGTTGCGAATTCGTATTCAGGGAAAGTTGTTGGAGCTTCTAAACTTCTAAACTTGAACTGAACCAGGGAGACCATTCTACTCTGACCTACAGGACCAGCAAGATCTCTCTCCAGCACCTCACCCCCCAGCTTCCTCAGAGAGCTCCTCGCCCTACAGGAACTCAGAGCAAGCTACTCCTCACCTAGTAACTCCTTAGCACTGCTCTGTACAACATATATATATATATATATATATATATATATATATATATATATATATATATATATATACAGAAAACGCATTGTGAGTTTTTATTCTACCTCATTCCTGAGTGTGAGATATCTACATGTACGTACGTTTGTGTGGCCATACAAAGAGAAAATAGACATCTAAAGATTGACTACTAGCCACATTACAGTACACTACACTTTAACAAATGAATTGTTAGGTAAATCAAGCCAAATACACAGTAATTTATATAAAAAATTGTATATATATATATATATATATATATATATATATATATATATATATATATATATATATATATATATATATATATATATATATAAAATGGTTAAAGGTTCTCAAGAAAATATACAAACCTGTCACCCAATATATGTGTCAAATTTCATACTTTTTACAAGAGGAAACCGAGACTACTACACATGTGCGAATGTAAGGGAAAGGAGGGGGGGGGGGGATTAGGAAAACGTTAAAGGGAAAAAGTCGGTCAGTTGGACGGACGGAAAAAATACTGATGGACAGGACCCCAAAAAATAGAAAACCTCTGGTTTTGAATTCTCGTAACACATGCAATAGTAATTTCTATTATCATGGGTACATTGTCATTATATAACATTTAAGGAAGGACCAGTTACGTAACGTAAAATCGTGTTCTCATCAACACGTTTCAAAAATTATTACTATTTTTTTAATTCTGTGATTCGTCTTCATAATGCTGTAATGTTTAAATCGCCGATCTGTAACTTACCGTAGTAGTTTGTGGAAGATCAACAGCGAATAAGTGTTCCTTCAAGATTACAAAGTACAGTGGTGTTACTTGGAGGATTCACTGGCACTACTTGCAACTTAGGAGCGAAGGTCTTCCCTGCTCGCGTGCTCTGGAGCCACTGATTATCGTAAGCACTAAGCTGGGCCATTATATCTCTGTCGTCTGTCGACCATAATTGTTGACAGATAAATGACGTGTTCGGTAATCAACGACTATTTTCGTATATTTCTATAATTCTTTGACCAAGAAGTATGAGAATAATTAACAATTTACGTTATACTGCAATTTCATATCGCCTGGAACTGTAAAAGCTAAAAGAAAATAAGCTTTACATATAAATCTAAATATCAATGGAAACATTCGATTTTCTCCATGAAAAATTCCACTTCCACTCGGGGTTTTCTCTCGAAATATCACACACCAACGTCATTACCGCTAACTTTCTGATAGATTGCTGTAAAAATGGAATCGGATTTTTATCTACTAAATTTAATTACTAGACCATGACGTATTATCTTTCCGCAAAACAGTCTGATGTTGGTCACGTCGTTGCTGCCATTATGCCATAATCAAAAGTCCTGGGGATATGGGATATACAGTATACGTACAACTATACCAGTGATTTGTGATAAGGGGAAAATACTAATCCCAATTACTCCCAATCACAAGAGATTCTCACCTCAAAAAACCAAGTCACTTAAATTCCTATAATCAAATGTTGGCACTACCACCTTGATTGGTAGAAATCTGACACGTTTTTGTATTTCAACACCGCCCTCAGCTTCAGCAGTCCCAGGGAAACTTCAAGGGAAAGTTACGTTCATACTGTACCAAGTCTGAGCTCTTGTTAAAAGTAGTTTTGGGCGGGCTAGTTAGCATGCTAACCAGCTCCTTGTGATGTATTTGTCAATAAATGTTTTGAATTTGAATTTGTACCAAGTCAATCCCAGGAAGTTAGCGGACAAATGGCGAAGAGGATGAAATTATTCAATATGATCAACTAACTTGAATTACACACACAGATACTATATACACATATATTATTATGATTAATTGTTATTTCTTTTATCTTATTTCACTTAAGAATAAATTTTACGGTTGTAATAATTAGATGTTTTAGTTAAAGAAAATCAGAAAAACTCGAATATAGAAGATTAGGACATAGCAAAGATAGTTTAAAAGATTACTCAGAATATAATGACTAAAATGGAAGGCCATGAGAATATTACTGAGACATGAAACATCAGATTATTACTAAAATATACTGTAGTTTACAGTTATCATGTTGTACGCATAAGAACATAATCAAAGGAGTGGTTCTTAACTATTTTGGAGTTGGGGGCCTCCATGATCAACCTTGAATCCATGCCACCTCCCGAAACTTACTTCCCAAATTATGAAAGTTTGACAAATCCCTTTAAGTTTTTTAATTCAACGAGGACGTCAATACACTGAGATCTTCACATACACAGTACATCTACATAGTTATTCCGGAAGTGCTTAAAATAAATTGGGAACCCCCAGGCTCAGGTAAATGTCCCAGCTCAGTTAGCAGAACTGCGGATATATATGCATTCAAACACCAGCTTTGTTTTTGCATCTAATTTTTTTCATTTTTGTTAGTTTTCTGCTACTTCTTTATATCAGAAAAATGTTAAACTATCCTCGTGGGAACCCCCTTAAATAGAATGCCATCTCTAACAATACTACAGTACATGAAGTTAAGATCAAGATTAATGAATGGTAAGTTTTCTTTGAGGGACGCTGCCACGCCACTTTTTAAATTATGAATTTGTTTAATTGGGAATACATATTCTGAGTGAGATATATGTTCAATCCTTTGCACCCCTCCTGATAGTTATAGAGCGTTAGAATTTGTTAACATATTTCCTTTAAAATACGTTTTGTTGTAAATTGTAAAACAACGGTTTTTTTTTAATATTCTTGTTGAAAATAATTATAGTATATAATCAGTGGCCAAACATGCTATGCTTCTATTCCAAGGTCTAATTATTTGGCCAATATACCTCTGGTACTGTAAGTACAATACAGTTGGCTCCATTCAGGCTTTTACCACTCTTCTTTCTCCCTGAGGTTTGAACGCAGAAATCAGAAGTGTGAATTCGAAGCATTCACTAGTGAGTGGGAGGGAGAGAGAAGGAAATTATTTTAATTGGTGTCTGGGTATGTGGGGGGGGGGGAGATACTGGAGGTGATGACGGAAAGTGTATATCAGTTGGGAGAGATTTTTGGGGTAGGGTTGTTTGGTTCACACTCAGGATGGGATGGAGAAAGGAAACTCACAATGTGCTCTCTGTATAGTACATGTTGTATTAGATGTACAATGCAGCTTGGTGCTGGGAAGTGGCAGCGTGGTTACAAGCGTGATGTAGAGAGAGCTGGTTGGTGAGGATGCTCAGAGGAGGACAGCTTGTGGGTCGCCATGCTCGCCGGCGGGAGCGAGGACCACCAGGCAGGAGGAGGAGGTGTTGCTTGCTGGTTGGTGTAGGTAGAAAGAGAGAGGGCACTACGAGGTCAGGTCTTAAATAGCGGAGGTAGGCGTGGCTTAGTAGTTGACCTCCGTGATGTATGGCGGCGCTGGTTGACCCAGACCACGAGGCATACACTGGGGAATTCAAGGGGTCGGCTACTCAGCGACAAACAGCGTTTGTAGGGGAGAAATCCACTACAATACTCCCTCCTTCCCTCCAGGCGGTGTAGGAGACTTGTTGTCTGCAGGGTTGCATGGCACATGTGAGGCCGAATGGGCGGTGCATGCCACATGTGAGCCATAACGGCGATGGCGTGGATGAGCCGGCCGCTAGTGGAGGCAACTGTCTAGACACACAAGATCTGTGGGAGAAGAGAGGGAGAAAGAGGGTTGTGGAGGTGATGAATGTTGTGTTTTCCTCGCGACAGGTACAGAGTCGTCAGATGCGCCTGCTGGGGTGTGTGAGCCTGGGTCAGGAGCAGGGGCTGCGTCAGCAGAAGCGGATGAGGGCTCGTGACAGCAGCTGGGTTCACGACAGCAGCAGGGTGCAGGACAGTAGCAGGGGGGTACCTGAGGGAGCAAAGAGGGGTGTGTGGGTCCGCACTCAGGAGCATGGGCTGCGTCGGGAGCAGGGGCTGCATCAGGAGGAGCGGCAGGGGGTACTGCTGGGCCGGGGGCGGCGTCTGAGGCAGGACGGGTGTGCTGGGGTCGGTAGGACGTGGTGCTTGGGGCAGGAAGAGGAGCTGGTGTCTGCTTAGAGAAGCAGTGCTGCTCGAGGGTGTCTAACCTGCGGTTTAGAGACAGTAGTTGTAGAGCCGATGAGAGCTGTTTCTGGGTGGATAAGCCAGTCTTCCATGTTGCTTGAAGACTGGGAGCATGATCTGTTTCTCCTCCATCCTGTGTGAGTGCGAATCTCCGGGGGTCACCATTTTTGGGGTATGAGATGGTTGGGTTCGCACTCAGGAAGGGATGGAGAAAGGAAACTCACAATGTGCTCTCTGTATACATGTTGTATTAGATGTACAATGCAGCTTGGTGCTGGGAAGTGGCAGCGTGGTTACAAGCGTGATGTAGAGAGAGCTGGTTGGTGAGGATGGTCAGAGGAGGACAGCTTGTGGGTCGCCATGCTCGCCGGCGGGAGCGAGGACTGCCAGGCAGGAGGAGGAGGAGGAGGTGTTGCTTGCTGGTTGGTGTAGGTAGAAAGAGAGAGGGCACTACGAGGTCAGGTCTTAAATAGCGGAGGTAGGCGTGGCTTAGTAGTTGACCTCCGTGATGTATGGCGTCGCTGGTTGACCCAGACCACGAGGCATACACCGGGGAATTCAAGGGGTCGGCTACTCAGCGACAAACAGCGTTTGTAGGGGAGAAATCCACTACAAGATTACAATGTAGGATAATGCTTTGACAATAACGACGGGGTTTCCTCAGTGCTAGCCAGATGAAAATACTAGTTCCAATAGGGTGAATTGATATAAGGTGTTCCTTTACAAAAGGAGGCATTAACCCTTTCGCTGCATTTCCCTCACTTGCCATTTTATCCTGGCTACCGCCAGACGATTTTATTCAGCCTCGGGTAACCTTCCACAGCCAAAGGGTTAATGAGCACATGGATTATGGATATGTTTGAATCAATATATTGTAGAAGATAAGTTTTGTTTAACCCCTTGACTACTCCAGCTGAATAAAAGCGTCTGGCGGTAGTCAAATTAAAATAGATTAGAAGATATCGTAGTGAAGGGATTAATAAGCAATCAAAACTACCAGGAAGTAGACACCACATATTAGTTGTACAGTAGAACGTCAATTTAAAGCGATTCAATTTAAGATTATTGATTTAAAGTGACACCCACAACTAAGGACAATGTTTTAATTTAAAGCGAATCTTTCCTACATTCCTATGTTTCACGAGTCAATCTGGCGCATCATATTTAAAATTTTGCGCCTACTGTTTTCTGGGCACGCTACACTGTCCTAAGGGCAAAGCTGTACTATACATATATTCAAAATAATGTACTAAATGATTAATAAAATTTTTGTCTAGTGCAAACTACAGCATGTATATATCCAAATTAAAAGCTATCATATAAGAATTCCAGCAATGTAAATTAAATTCTCCCTGGTCACTTCTGTGACATGTTATAAACAAAAAACAAAAACTTAATCTAAAGGACAAATAAACAAATAAAAACTTCACTAGACCTTCAGCCCCAACTGTCAAACTGTCACTGTCACTCCCTCCTACCCCCACCATCTTCCCAGCCAGGGTTGGGTGGTTTTAGGGTTACAGTTTTTATCTTATATAATATCACAGACTAAAGTTAGGAGAATACAATTTGCATTGCTAGAATCCTTGCAAGACAAAGAATAATTTGAATATAAACATCATATATTTTGCACACGATAAAAATTTTAGCCCTTTGTAATAAAATTAAGTAGAATATGTCAGTTCAGTGACATTTTATAAAAGAAAAACTTAAAGTCACTCTTAAGGACAGATAAAAAAATAAGCACTAGACCTTGGCATCAACTGTCAAACATATCACCTTGTAGTGGATCCTCTCCCCTACAACTCCCAACTGAGCTCCGGCCGTGCGCCTACCAGCCAATCAGCGTACAGTCAGCTACGCTGAGAGACTAGGTCTATGCAGTGGACGTAGGGGTACGATCGCCGACCTAGTCTCGACCTTCAACCTCCAGCTCAGGATCAGAGCGTTTCACACCTTACGCTTAAGCCGCCGTGATTGGCCCTCGCGCTACGAGCACCTCATATCATGAGTTTCCTAAATCACATAAATACGGCCCCGGCTGACCGGGGAACTCATTCTACACTCGGCTACCGGACCAGCAACATCTCTCACATCTCCTCACCACCCAGTTTCCTCAGAAACCTCCTCGCCCTACAGGACCTCTGAGCAAGCTTCTCCTCACCTAGTCACTCCTAAGCACTGCACTGTACAACAATATATATACAGAAAGCGCATTGTGAGTTTCTATTCTACCTCATTTCTGAGTGTGAGATATCTACATGTACGTACGTTTGTGTGCCCATACAAAGAGAATTGACAACTGGCCACATACAGTACCCTACAACCTCACCTCCCCCCCGCCCCTCCTCCACCATCTTCCCATCAGCTGATCACTAGTAAACAGACCATTTCACCTCCCATAATTTTAGCTGTGTTGATTTATGAGTGTTTATTTTAATATAATACTACAAAAAACAATGTTTTGTTTATTCTAGGAGATGGGCTGAGGTGCATCTGGGTTGATTCTCAGTCTTTTTAGTATTTTGTATTTCTTTCAAGTACCAAACTAAATTATTCCATTGAAACAACACTTTGATTTAGTGCGAATTCAGCTTAAAGCGACCTCTCTTGGAACATAACTGTTATATTGACATTCTACTGTAATACAAATTTGATGTGAACAAAAACAGTTCAGTTGGTAGCACAGTCTTATATAGAATCAGCAAACCACATAGTTCAGTGGAGCTAATTGTACCTACACATACCGGGAACCTCCTGATTAGGCAAATGCCACTACCATGATTATACCAATGCCTCAGTGGGTGCAGGAATCAAAATCCATTTTAACTTTTCTATGATCAATTTCCAAAGTAACGCAAATTAGTACAGATACGGGATTGAGGTAGAACAAAGTGCGGGCCCTCACTCAGGACGTCGTATTTGCATTACAGTACATACAGGTACAAAGTTTTCCCACGTGAGGTCTGTTACTGTAATCGGTTACGGCTTTATATTCTGTTAATTCAATAGATGACGGTCTAACCTAAATTTGTCTTAACCTAATTATGCCTTCCAATAAACAAACCGGTGAATTATGGGTGTATTGGATTTTCCGTGCACGTATTATCATAACTATTATCACAACAGAACTGAACTTCACACTCACATAGAGAGTCAATGATCACAATGTAACCATTTGCTTCTACCCAATAATCAGGATGTCCTTCTCTGGCAAGCAATGACAACGTAAAAACAATGACAGCGGCTGACACTAATTACATCATGTTCATAACAACAATGGCAAAAAGCACTTTACAGTCACAAAAAAATTAGCAAAAATCACTTCATAGCCACTCAAACAGAGTACAATGTGAATGTTAGTGATGTCTTCTCACTGTAAGGTATAAAAAAAGAGAAAAGTAACAATACTGACCGATAATAGTTGAGCTACATGATCACAGCCATGTACGATCCTCATAGATTGGGACTGCAGTGCTCTGATTGGTCGCGTGGCAGCATGCAGGTAAACAGCAGCTGACAAGTGCAGTGAGGGATGCGTTCCATATTCCACGCATCAGAAATTTTGGTTGGACGATCACCATCGTTCATGCAAATTTCTTCTATCATAAATAAGGGGGTGGTCATAATACATCACCATCATTCAAGCAAAATATACTAGATATGGAGATCGTAAATCAGGGGATACCTGTACAGTACTTTACAACATTGCTGTCACAATAAAACATCAAGACAATTGTATATTTTATTTAAGAACATATGAATACATATCAAAGATGGGACTGGTATGCTAGCACGAGCTGGAGAGCGTACAACTTGGAAGCTATCAGGACACACACGTCATGGCTTAAATTTAGCAGTACAAATGTATCACAACAATCTGTTTTAATGTGGCTTGAGAATAGAATGGGAAATATGATTACCAGTACTTGTTTTTACATTAATTTAAGATAGTTAACACTATCCAATTGTGGAGTTGTGATTGGATGACTGATAGGCAAGGCAACTTGTTTATCAGCTGGGTGGTGACATCCATGTCCTGACACTTGCCTGAGATCACAAAAGGTAACTTCACTGAGCAGTGCCCCCTGACTGATATGCTGCTACTAATACTGCCAAGTTAATCCTCATAGTTGGGTAATTCATCATTCAGCACTGGTATATATATATATATATATATATATATATATATATATATATATATATATATATATATATATATATATATATATATATATATATATATATATATATATATATATATATATATATATATATACTTACTGTATAGGGTTCATACACTTTCACAAATAATTAAGTTTCCATGGTATCTAAGCAAATTTCCATAAACAAACAAACAACAAATGATTTATATTTTAACAATATATAGCATATAAAATTTTTCTACTGTAGCTTTACATATCTATCAATTAAGTAAATCATTTACTAAAATGTAGAGTGCAACCATTATGTTCATTGGTGTGTCCTGAAATATTAGACTGGATTTATTCATAATTCCACAGCCCTGACAGGGGGAACATATCAATTAGTTTGTCTATGTAATTATGAGATCAGAGACTTGCAAAAATAAGTTGGCCATCAAATTAAAAAAAAATCAAAACAATGTAAAATAGTGTACATGGATAAGTGATATGCATACATTACTGTATACCAAAATGGTTTTACTCTGATAATTTTGTACAGTACAACTATGAGCTGGAGGATATGACATGGCATCTACTGATAATTTCATTTGGTGAATAATTCAGATTTTTATAACTTTCTTGCCTGGAAATCTTATCCAGTAATTGATTTACCATGAGTTAACAGATGTGTATGAACCCTGTATACCTGTGTAATATATGTACAGTAAATATATATATATATACAGTATATATATATATATATATATATATATATATATATATATAATCACTTGGCAAGCTGTATATGAAGATGGTTATGAATTTTCTATTTATTGCACATAAAGTTTGTGTACTCACTTATAATCCCAATGACACAACACTGGAATCCGGGTATAGGTTGATCACACACATGGCTCTTTTCATTAGTGTTGATCATCACTTGTGTAATAACTTAAGGCTTAATCAACTTTCCATATCCTGTCCCACAACATTTTGGTGCAAGTCCTCAGTGTGACCATGCTGTTTTAACAAACATTTCCTTAGTTCATCTTTAAATATTCACCCACACATTGACAACTTCAGCCTCACTAACATTTGTGCACAAAAAGCATTTATTCAGACAATCATTTGCTGGAGGAATATAACCCATAATATAGGGAAGTAATTACTCTGCATCACCTTCAACATTCAACACTGTCTTTTTCAATAATATTAACATACCAAAGATCAACTCCATTATTCATTATTATAAACACATACATTACTTGGATACAATTAAAACTATATATAAAATATTGGGCAAATCTGCATTTAATATACAATTTATCCTAGGAAAAAGCAACATAATGTTGATAAAAGAGTAGAAAAATGGATCAGCAGGATAAAATACCATCTAACAAGGCAGTTCCACATTGGGCCTACAGTACAACTGCCATTCATAAGCAATGGTTACAACTTGAAGGTAGAGGAAGATGGGTGACCCTTAGTTACATTATATGATTTATCTCCCATGACCATTACATGTGTAATAATAACACTAGTCCTCACACATCAAGAGCCAGAATATTATGCTTCAAAGAAGTAAAACCCTGTGCTCTTAACAAGTGAGGGTTACAACAACTTTGGTTTACTATTTTCTTCTACTACCCCTTAAAGGCTTCATAACACTAGTACATATGGCAGTTTACAATCACAAGGTGTGTGTGTGTGTGTGTGCGTGTGTGTGTGTTATCAGTCAGTCTAGTCACTAGTCACAAACAAAAGTAACAGGTGCACACCAGGATGTCACATGAAGTTTCCCACAATCATAATATCAGAATAAATCTGATAAACCCTTCTTGCATTTAGAGCAGGATGACCATGTAAACTCCTCCACTACATGTTTAAGGTGAACATCACAGATCCAACAACAACATTCAAAATATCAGCTGACTAATTCTGGATATTGGTTAGAATATCACACAAGTGAAGCAGTTCACTTATTGCCTGCACTGTATACAACACTTAATTGCAATTAAAATTCAAGCATTCAACATACAGTATCTGAATTTTCTAATACACTTTTATTTAATGTCTGTGGGTAAACATGTCCTCAGTTGATTGTGTACATCAAGGTTGTTCTGTTTGCTTAAAAAGGTTACTATTTTGTGTTATTTCCAAAGGGTATATAAACAATAAACTATGGATGAATTGGAATGTGATAGTGATAATATGTAGTAGTCACAGAGATGATGGTAGTATGGGCAGCAGTTAACACTAAGATATCGAACTGTAATAACAACAGTGTGTGTGTGTGTGTGTGTGTGTGTGTGTGTAGAACCACATAAAAATGATAAAAACATATTAAGACAATGATAATACCTTTCTTTAATATAATTTTCCTCATGGTGTAAGTACTACATCAGTTATATTCTCGTTATTTAAAGCTTTAATTGACAACTTGCCACTCATAAGCATATCTGGGGCTTGAATGTGTGAATGCTTTGTAGATATTTTCTCATTAGTGTTCAATGCAAGACTGAATAGCAACTACAGTATTATAATATTTTGTACAGGCTACCTCGATCTTCCATTTTGAGTTGACTGGTTTTAGTCAACTATGGAAGCACTGTAATGGGAGAAGTGTTATTTTTGTCCTTGAATTTTTTTATATAACCTTGACTACATACCACTGTCTCAATCTCAAACACTAATATATCCTTCAATCGTCGCTTAGTTTCTTTTAATTCTTCCCCATCTTTTTCATTCTTACTTGACCTGCCTTCTGAGGCAACCTTCTTTTGTATTCATAATGCTAAGTGCCAATTATTTCACTAGTTTAACAGCCAAACCACAGCCCGGGGATTATTATTTTTTAAAGTAAGGCAGAGTAATCTTTTTCTATACTCTAAGCTACTTTGCTACACCAACACCATTTTTGAGCAGTACTGTGGGTAGGCAACAACTGAGGAGGTGAACTAATCAGTAGTGAAAATGTATGAAGAGTAATCTTCATGTACCGTAGAGTGAGACAACATGATGTATGTAGCAAAAGATTGGTAGTTACACAGTACTGTACTGCACTGTACTACAAATGGTTTACAGTATTATACTGTACTATCTTGCAATGTAAATGAGCTGATAAAGAAGCTCAGTTTCATCATAAAGTGCATCAGCTGGGAGCAGTATATGAATCTCCAAAAAGTTCAGTTATATTTAATTATTCCTTTAAACTATTAAAGCAAAAACCATTTTAGTTAATTAATATGATGTGTCAACAAAACATAGGTCTATTGATGCTGCTGTACTGTAATAACAGCATGATGAAGCAGAATGGAAAATAAGATAAATTACAGTACATGCACTGTATATACCTTTCCTCAAGGCAAAGCTTTCTGGCATGTGCTTACAACTAATAAAGGCTTCTCATTATCCCAATTTCACCTCTTAATATGTTTTTTGTAACATAAAAATATGTAGGAACGTGACACACCTGAGTAACTATTTAACAGCACTCTATTTTAAAGTGATGAAAGCTGCAATGATTCTAAACACATTTCTGTATGTTTTATTGAACTTTTATAAGTTCTTGGTTAGTTTAAATTTATACTGAGAAGATGTCAGAATCCTGATAATAATAATGCCAATTCAAACCTGCAGTTGCTACATACCATCATCTGAATAAAAACAAAACAAAAAACAATCAGTATTTGAATGGACCCTTAAATAGAAAAATACTTCAAAGAAATAAATTTCAGTATACAGTAATTCCTTTTTCAGTTTTCAATCCACCTGAAGGCTGGTGACTAGTGGTGGTGAGTACAATCCAAACTTCTCTCACACAGGCAACTAACTGCTGCAACCTTGTGACTGTATTCAACCAACAGTGTGATGGAGTCTTCAAATTCTCCTTAACCTGAATACAGTACATTTCATGATGAAAAGGGACCTTTGGATGATATATGCAAGACTTCCACATAGTGAACAATTCTTAACTAAAAAGTTCAAACAACCATACTGTTTTCTTTTTCAAAGCACATATGTTCCTTAGTTTTATAACAAATCCTGACTTGCACATCTGCAGACTCAGGCTAAGAATCTTCCTTCTAGTAGAGGTCACTACTGTGGCTCTCCTAGAATGGTCATCTTCAGTCAGAACCCCCGGCCAGGCTGTCTTCCTCTTATGCAATATTTATGTTAATCCACTATGTGGCTATTAGTAGTTCTCTCCATTAAAATTATGGCAACCTGTCTTTGCTTCCTTATCTAAGTCTTAAATAATCAGAAGGTAGAAGCTCTATTTAATGTACAATACAATATGGCATATTTTCTCACTTCACTCTGACAAAGACTGATCAAACAACAAAGAGCATAATGTGATTCCAGCTACTGTTAAATAATAAGATATTAAACAATACAGTATTCCTTTCAGAGTTCTACATAAAATTAAAGATATTCTTATTATCATGTTTCAACATTATCGTTAAATAAAATGTAAGCACTGCAAGTGATAATACATAGCGATATAATAAAATATGTAGCATCATCAGCACAAAGTCAGTGTTAACTTTTGTACAATACTTCAGAAGTTCATGCTTTCTATTTAACAACACCAAGAGAATAAGAATTCCTGAAATAAGGTACACGACTGAAAGACACTAATAATGCCACATATACTCACCAAGCAGCACAGGTTCATTAAGAATGTAGCACGACAGCATGGCTAGTCACTTTTTTTTTTGAGTCACCCTTAGGGAAAAAAAAATACACACACACACATGGGTGTCACGAGTCTTCTCCGGAGTCTTGACTAGATACCAAACAAACCCTGGTATTCCGTGGTTGGAGACAGCCTGGCAAGACATACAGACATCTGCACTATTCAGGACTGCGTTTGTGAAGCGTGCTCCCGGGAGGTTCATGGCTACATAAAATCCCCCCCTTCTATTTCACAAGTTCAAGCTGTGAAGACTTAATGGGGGAATTCACCATGTTGTTATCATAAGTTAATTATCAATCATCTATTACAATGCTCCTAATAATGGTATATAAAAATTATTATATAAGAGCACGATTCAAAACTCAAGTCCAGAGTCTGTTCAGCAGCATAGGTGAGCAAAGACCACAGAAGCACTAGAACTAACATTCACCACTGTATCTACATCTTATTTACAAAAAAAATTGTATAATTTCACCATCATAATCATAATATATGCTAATGTGGCATAGTAATAATTCCATGATAATGCATAAAAAACACCAGCAAGAGTATGAAACCCGACACTGTACTAAATGCAAAGGCTCATTAGGTTCCTGGTAGTGGATCCTATGGGCCCTACCGACCCTGGCAGGGAGGGGTATATATATACAGGGGAGTTAGGAGTGCGAAGGGGGGCAGGGCTTGTACAAAACTTGAGACCTTGGGATAGGCAGTGTGGCTGTCATATACATTCCATATTAAAGCACGTGAGTTAAGAGTGTGGCTGTACAAAAGTAGTTGAGAAGCCAATACTATGAATAAATTATTTTCCCTACAAAAATGCAGCTGATGCACCAACTCCATGCAGGTATTGGAGAGGGCAGCAGGAGGTGCACCATTGCCCAGAGGGTTGTTGGCATCATAGTGCTTATCTGCCTGACAGCACATGTAACACAATTGAGTACTGTATGTTTGCATGGCTTAGTCATCACTACATCTTTCACTACATCAAGTCACTTGAGCTGTACATTCATCACTTTTATAAACTTCACATTTTGTCGTTAAGATTTTTGTTTTATAAACCCGAACTAAAAAATTAAAAGGCCTTAGCAGATAACTGAAATAATATTGGTAAACAGTGATCTGCAGTCAATAGTTCCTGATTAACTAATTATTCATCTTAAGGCAGCAAGCATCAGAGCCACCTTGCTTCGTGTGTGGCATGTGACTAAAATGCCCCTGTGCCATAGTGGATGACTGAACCACCACAGTGCGGGGTTCTACATCATCATACCAGATATATATATTATCAACAGCCAGAATCCATATACAGTACTTTACTGACCACTGCAACATCTCCACACAGTAGCTTCAACAAGTTCCTCAAATCACATAGAACTTTGTGGAGTTTTGTTTGTATTTTATTTTTAAGTGTGATTATTTTACAATTCTGCACCAATAATAGAGTAAAAATGTAACATTAAAAAATCATCTGGTCTGAATAATAATTACAATGAAGATGATAAGAACAATGATGAAATAGTAGATATGAATGTTTACAAGTTTGCACCTACATATAGTATGAGCATTGTCAAATGGTACCAATTTCTCCAGGTTTCTTGTTGTACCAAAATTCCATTCATTAAGTTCCTCTGCCAAGAAGAAATATAAGTGGTCCCTAAATCATGAAGCAGGCCCTGCAATTTGATTTTTTTATTGAATGCCACAATTTCCCTCAAAGACCTATAAATTTGCTTTTCTTTGACAGGTGTAGCACACTTATCTCCGGTTAAGCTCCATCTTGACAGCTGCAAAAGAAAAAGTACTATGAGGTTTTTTAAGAAAAATTGCTACTGACCTTCCACATAGTGGCAAGCTACATTCAAAAGGGCATTTCTTTTATATTAAAATTGAGGAATGGGATGTAAACTATAAGATAAATGGGAGAGGAGTAGGGAAAAGGTGAGAAGAGTGAGGGAGGGGAGGGGAGGTGAAACATTACTTCAGGGAGAGGGGGGGGGGGTAAAACATCAGTTGAGGGAGAGAAAATGTAAACTATGTTAGGTTTTCAGTGTGATATATACTTTAATGGCACCATCCCCCTTTAGCAAGATCATAAGAGTGATTGAAGAATTGTGTACACCACTATAGAACAGTCAATCTAAGGCACAATACAGTACTCTAAATGTGATAAAAAGGGGCACACTGTATCCCATGAAGTACAGCAAGAACCGATTCAAGCAATTCAAAAGCGTAAATATCCAACTATTAATGAACGGTACATTCACAGGTAAATGAATTGAACAGGTGCACCCCTTAAATATACTCTGTATTCCTTGCACAAAACAAGGTGCCTACAAGAGGCTCAGGTTAGCTACTTTGTCCTTGGGGGCTCAATCCTTCAAAAAGATGCTGAAAAGAAATTTTCTAAATAAAACTACAAACACTTTTTCGAGGTAAAACAATTAAGCTACAACAAATCCTCCACATCACAGTGCGGTGGTCAACATTTCATCTTTTTCCTGGTTGGACAGTTTAAGTACCTTTGTTATATCACTTTTGTTTAACCTTGAATTCCATTTATACACCTTGATCATATCGCCCCTCACTCTACATCTCTTACAGTGCAGTGGCCATTCTCTGAGAGGGCCTTCTTTAAAGAGATAACCCTCCTCTAGTAGAACAAAACACAACCATGTTTGTTGTGAAGATTTATTTAAAAGAAGTTGGGAATGGTTGGTTGTGGTGATTTATTTTGATGGCGGGACAATCCTACAGTCATTTGCACTAATTTTTTGGGGAAAAATAAAATAAAAATACATAAATAAATAAATGAAAAATTGGTACTGTACAAGATCTCAATACAGGTACAGTACTATACTGTACTCCTCAACACACTGAATAAGATTATTGAGGTGGAAATTTTGAAGGCAATTAAAAATATCAGTGCTCCATGAAAGGTAATCATCAGCAGCTGCATGAACGGTGTGTCATGCAAGGTGAGGCCAGAGGCATGTAGTGACTTCCGTGGGTTTGAGGATGCTGCACCTGCCCTTACAAGTGACAGTGTTCAGCTGCCCAACCAAATTGGGCTTCATGAAGTTGACACAGACAATGTGGAGGAGCTGCTGCATTCTCACAGAGATCCTTACTAAAGAAGTGGTAGATGAGCTAGAAAAACAGAATGATGTAGAAAAGAAGGAATACAATTCCAAGGAAGCTCCATCAAAAAACTTGACGCCATCCCTGAGGGCCTCAACGGATTCTCAAACAATGACACTGACTGGAAGTGCAGCAGTGCTGCCAGGAGAAGTGTTCAAGCAGGCATCTCTTGCTACCAGGAAATGCTGCAGGAGAAGGAACAGCAGGCAAGGCAGTCTACCTTAGATGCCTGCTTCAAGAGGCCAGCAGTTTCTGAGGATGAGCCACAACCTGGCCCATCCTCCCAGCAGTAGCTCCACCCATCTTGTCTCCCACCGCTGCCGTGTAGGAGTAGGAGCAATGGCAGATAGTGGTAAATGTACACAAGCTCCAACCAAATGCACTGGTGAGGTCAGTACACATTGTCTTTTTTTCATTATCATTAAAAACTAATGCTCTCCATTATAAAAAAATTTCATACATTTATCATGCTTGCAATATAATTATTAATGCTATTACCAATACCTCAATAAAACTGTTACAGTATATGTAAGATGTGAAGCTGCATGGAATGCATCTCCATTAGAACAATGTTACAATGTCCTTTTACAGTGCTTTTTCAAACAGTACAGTACTCTGTTTCCATGGAATGCATCCTTAGCACTATAAAAAGTATGACTGTATTCCAAATATTGAAGATTTCCCTAAATCTACAAACTAAAGTAGAGATCACAGTTGTGGTATGAATGCTAAATGAAACTGATTTGTCATTTTCAACTGCTGTACTGTAATTTATAATTTCTTTTACTCCTTACCTATTCCGGCTGTGAGCAAACTTAGCACAGTGCCAAACTGAAAGTCTGAATTACTTTGCTTTCTTTCTACTCCAATGAACACTTATTAAAACAGCTTATGTTACTCACCATCAATGATCTCCTGCTTAACTTTATCAAGCTCCTTCCTCATTTCATCCATAATTTCTTCTTTAAGTCTCTCTAAGTCTCCCAAAGATGCTCCTCCTCCTCCAGAAGACTCGCCAATACCATTAACTCTCGGGGCACCATCTTCTGACGTGGAGCCAAATCTCTTACGTTGTGGCTTGGGCGATTCTGGTCCAGTCTTGCCATTAGAGGAAGAAGAAGTGTTACCAGGACTTTTTTGTGATGATCTAGGTGGGTCCTGCCAAAAGGGAAGGACGTAGTGACTGAGATGTTTATTGTTTGCCAGTACAGTACCAAAAGATACTTAACTTTAGTGACAAATGATTCAATCAATATTTTTTTTTTTTACTGTATACTCAGAACCAGACAATTTGAGTCTTGAAAAGAAAATACAAGCTTGAAATAAAGAATACCAACTACGAGATGGATCATAACATTGGAAGCTGTATAACCAGGGAGCTAAATGTTCATTTGAATTTTTTCTCCCTACTGTATAGTTTATCCCTCTCAATGACATCAGGCAACTTACTGTAGTATCACCAGCATGACCATCCCCATTAACCACATGATACCATGCTCTCTGGGTATTCACACACACATACACTACTGCTCACTTCTAGTAGTCTTTTACTTCTCCTCTCCCTCTGAACATCCACTTGTGAATTATACAGTACTGTACAGTAATCCCTCACCAACCGACCACCACCGCCATTGGTGGTTGTATTCTACAATTTTGCTGTGGTTGGCACGATCTGCGTCTAATAAGAAATAAGGAGTCGGGGGAAAAACCCAAAGAGACATACCTAAAGTGTTATAATGTATTGCACAGATCAAGATAAAAATAAGTACAGGGTGTGTTCAACCAACTTGGCTGCCGAGCCAGTTATACAGTATGTCAATGCCACATGAGAAAAAAGAATCACTTTTAAATCCTTTAATATTTTGGCTAATTTTGGAAGTTTCTCAGGTCATTTCTTAATTTTCTTTCTGTATCCAAAGGGTAATACAAATAATGGAATGTATTTGTGCATAAAGAGTACAGTACTGCAAAACTGCATAGGCTTATCTTCTTATTGACTAATTACTGTTACTATCCAATAATAATTGCTACAATTAAGGTAAAATAATACATGTACTACAGGTAACTTGTACAGGTATGGTATACAGTAGTCAGAAAAAATTCTAATTCCAATAAACCCTCACCAATTTGGACCTTTTATCTTGGACCCCCATGATTCTCAGACATGAGGTCAACCAAAGACACTTTTCCATCCATTTTGAACAATATCCAAAATGGATGGGCATGTATGGCTGCTCGCTCAAAAAACCACAAGTCTCCCCCAAGGTTCTCGAATCTCCCTGCATGTCGTGGGGATACCAGCATCTCCCAGGCATTGTTTATCAGTCTCGCTTGGGTGTTCATTAGTGCAAAGTGTATTGTATTTATCTTTAATTATCTTTACAATGTCTTTCCTATTGTTATACAATTAGGTTGCATCTATGTACAGTAGAACCTCGTTAATTTTAACCAAAATTTAAAAAAAAATATGTAAATGTAGTTTCCTCACTGCTTACCACAGACATAAACAGACAGAACCCAATTATTATGAAGTAAGTGGTGCTGACCTGTGACTGTGTTGGTGAAGAAGGTGGGTCCAATTTTTTGTTGGCCCTACGTCGTGCTAGTGTGGCAGCCATTTCATCCATCATGCTCATCATGCCTCCCAAAGTTGGCCGTTCACCAGATCCCCGACCAATACTGCCTCCCGAGCTGCTTGACCCTGTACTCTCACTATCGGGAGCACGGGTTTTGCGTAATTTGGCACCTGCTATTGCAGAAGCAAGCCCACTGTTGCCAGAAGGTTCATCTGACGAGGGCTGTGATCTGGCAAACCCACCTGGTGGAGGAGGTGGAGGTGGGGGAGCACCACATAAGGGGGGTGCAGGGGGTGCTGGAGGAGGAGGAGGGCCACCTAATGGAGGGGGAGGTGGTCCACTCACTGGGGGTGCTGGAGGGGCAGGTGGGCCCCCAATGGGAGGTGCAGGAGGTGCAGGGGGTCCACTAGGAAGAGGGGGAGGTCCACCATAAGGCAAGGGAGGGGGACCCCCTGCAGGAAGAGGGGGAGGGCCACTGGAAGGAGGTGCAGGAGGGGCTGGGGGTGCTGCAGGTGGGGGATTGGGAGCTGAATTAGTACGGTGATGGCCAGCAGGTACTGGCGGTGGTGGGGGAGCCCCCATGTTCGGTTGACCAGTCATACGTCGCTCCTGCATCACAGCTATGTCCTCCCGAGTCATTGTCCTGCAAGAGGAATTCCAAAGTTGGTGCACAGAATGATAAAACACTGTCAAATTTAATCATGTGTTTGAAATTCTTCACCTTTACGATATACTTACATTCAATTAAGAGAAGCATGCTGCAATCAGCTAATAAAGATGTTACAAACAAAGGTTCCATTCTAAAACTCAAAACTGGTTAGGCTAACCTACTGTAAAAAGCAGACCATGATATTTTTTATACTACCTTACTGCAAAAATAAAAGAGCAAACAAAAGAAACAACAAAAGAACAAAAAAATTAAATAAAAAGATACCACCACCAGCGGTAGCCAGAGAACCTTGGAGACCAACTAGTACTCTAGCAGCACTGTAGAAAGACTGGACTACAAAGATCGCTTGATGAAACATACAAGGACTGAGAGCAAGCCAATATTCACCTCTGCTCTTGCATATTGCTATTCCTCCTCTCTAAGTTTTTAGTTATAAATCATATATTAATAATTATAGACTCAATAAAAAATAAGGTTCCTGAACAGTTGCCAAATGCAAGTGCAAGAGGTTGGCAAGCCCTATTTCCTTCCGTTAGTGAGAACAGCTGTGAGTCAGCATCAACGCAGCATCAGTATACAGGTAGTGGTAGTAGTGGTCCCTCGCCCGTGCACCAAGAGAGAGCATCAACAGCCCGGGCAGGATGTGTGACGAGCCCGGTCTTTACTTTACCGCGTGTCATGGTAATGGTGATAGTTGTCGTAGGTCCTGTCGTAGGTTTTCTCGTAGTGGTTGTTGTAGGCATGGGGATCAGCATACCTGTACCCCATGTCCTCCTCGGTGTAGAGCTGGTTGTGGTGCTGCGGCTGGGAAGGCTGCTGTGGCTGGGTCATCATTGGTGGCGGCTGCTGTTGCTGCTGTTGCTGCTGTGGTTGCTGCTGTGTAGGGGCTGCAGGTGGGGGAGGTGGGGGCACCTGCCGTACACTTCCCCCATTGTTGAGCACCTGGAAGAATGAGTATATTCAAAATTTACAATTATCAAAAGAGAGGAATCCAATTAAGGAAGGATAGGTGGGATACTATAACAAGGTGTACTGTACTGTACTGTACTGTACAGAAACACCCCGGTCTACAAACTATCAGGTTACAAAAACTTTATTGTAACAAACAACCCTTACATAAGCTAACTGGCAGTACGTATACAAATGCTCCCCGAGTTCACAAACTACTGTAGTTTACTGGTGGAGGACTACCCCTGCCCTCCACATGGCTGTGATGCCTCTCAGCAAGTCATGGATTAGGGTTAGTTGCATCATCTGCATTGTTCATGCCATTTTCCGAAGAAGACCATTGATTCTTTACTTTTTCTTTTTCATATTTAGAGCTTTGTCTGAGCTCCAACCACAACTGATAAGGTAGGTATAAGAGTGAACCTACATCACCATCCTCCCCAATGTAACGAGCCATCATCCACTCCAATAAAACCCACACATGTCCAGTGAGCACAGCAACAACAGGAACCAAGGTAAAGTACTGTACTAAACACATACTATAATTATGAAAGTCACAGTTATAAGCATATCTTTATTGTAGGCAAAATCTGTACAAAATTTGGATTTTGTCAGGCAGTTCAGAAACTAATCCCCCCATAATAACATTGTACCTATGGACAATCATGTTTTGGGTTTTAGACAACCACTTAACAAAATGGTCTTCAATCCCTAACTTCTTCGCTGAGACCGGGGTGTCCCTATATATGTGTTACTGTACCCTGAAGTAGATGATAAAGGAGACATAAAAAGTGAGCAGAAACAAACATAAAAACCATTTGACTTATGGTAACTTCCCGAAGTACCACTCTATAACAAAAAACCCTACTATTATTAATACTGAAATTTAAAGGACTTGGAATTTGTTGCCAGTTATAGTAACAAAACCAGACAGATTCTTTCACCATATTCATCCTGCAGCAACACCTGACACACAACTACTGTATCTACTGAAATAGTTCTTCAAACAAAGGAGGAATTATTAATAGAGATATAAGTGTAATGGTTAACATGACAAACATCTGAAATACAAAACTGTTGTTAAAGCATCATTACTCTGAGGTTTACACATTTTTAAAGAAAATTGGATAACCAATAACAACTGTCACTCACCTCCAGGGCTTTGAGCATAGCGTGTGCAAAAGCGTCAGCATCATCTTTGCTGGAGAAATTTAGACCATACACTTGGCGATTGTCCCTCCACTGGTGAAAAGTGACTGTTGCTTGGTTATATTTGAGGCCCTTCAGGATGGCACAGTTTATTACGACCTGAAACAGAGTTAATTTCACAGTTAAGTTGTCAGTTGCTGTACACACAATGAGCAGTGTTCAACTTATAAAGTAAAAACATTTCAGAACCTGAAACATAATTATTAAATAATAAAGTTTGAAAATTAACTTACATACATTTAGCAGTCTTGAACAAGTATTTGATCCATATTATGCAGTGTTGAAAGAAACACCTAATTTACAACAATCTATTTATCAATACAGTACTTCATAGCCTTTTATCAATATAAAGGTCCAGTACATTACAGTATGTCATGTATATTTTTAGTCATGCATTTTAATCACTGTATGGGATATAGAATCGAGGTGGGTGGGTCGGTGGGTGTGAGAGAGAGCACAATATCTTGAAATGTTAGTTTATAACCAAACATGGTCTCTAAACATATTATAACATAATGTATGACATGTTCAATAAGTAGTGTTTAAAGTGGCAATACCGTGCCCCCAACTGGCCCTCCATTGGTCCCATACCATTTGCTGAATCTGTCCCAGTTGAAAAGCACCAAATAAGAGTCTCTGTAATTATTTTTGTGCTTTTTTTTCAAAAGACCTTGAGTGGGAAATGTTCTACAAGTATTCCTGCAATCTCAGTTTTATTTTAGCGAGTACTCATGTTTCCATGTTAATTTAATTACCTATTTGTGTTCTGTATTAATTTATTTAATTTCTGTCTAATATTTATTCAAGAGATGTATAATTATTCTGTGTTCTGTCATTAGTGTTTATAACAACGACCTCTGCTTTTTTTATTTTGGGCGAAGTTGAGGGTGGGAGGGTTAGGGAAGGCAGATTGGAATGGATGAATAAAATTAAAAACTGGGTTCCCGGAAAGAGATACAAAACCTTGGAGGATTGGTAAAAACAGCCCGTACATGTTTAAAGTGGAGGACTGTGGTCGCCAACCCTCAGATATGAGGACAGTACTCTGATGCCGTGGTGGGAACAAGGCCACCTTTAGTGATACATTTGACAGAGTTTAAAGTGGGTGTAAAGAGTTAATGCAATTTCCTTATTGTGGTGTCAACTGATGGCTGTCAACCCTACCTAGAATATAGAAAAACCTTATAGTACTGTACTACAATGAAGGAGTAAGGCGGTAAGTTACCTCGTGGTCTTGGAGTTTCCTGCCCACCACCCTGAAGGTGTTGTTGACCGTGTGTTGGTAGATGTGCACCTTAGAGAGCCCTGTTGACGTGCCTGACGGTAGCCACTTTTTATTGACGTCATCATATATCATGACGGAGGCCCGCGCACTGCACACACTCTGCTCGCTGTCAAAGATGAAACAATGTTAATTATGTGCAGAAAACTGATATATGTTTGGTATTTACGATATTAGAGCAAGCTACTTCAGAGAACAACAACATATTGGAATGAAGACACGAAGACATATGAGGCAAAGATAAGTTGGATTTGCCTGCAGGTTGTGAACAAAATAGGAATAATTTATGGTGAAGGATAAGTAGGTAGAAAATATGACAAGGTTGAGCAAAGGAAAGGGAGATGAGGGTAATGTGTGAGCTCCCACAGCCCAGTCTTGAGCATGATTAATGCTTGCCAACAGTGTTCAAGACAGAAATGAGTGATCGTTGAACCTGCTAGCAGACTGTCGAGTGGCGTGCAGGATAATGTAAGGCAAGATATGTGTTAATTCAACAAGACCAAAATAATGTTGTCATAGGAATGGACCTTTCTTATAAAATAAATCCAATAATTCTCAATGGTTCACCGTGAACTCCTTTCCTCACACAATACAGGTAAGTGTCAGCTCACACCTCACAATATATGAGTACTGTATCGCCACATTGTCCTAATCCGCCACACAGAATGATCACATAAATCACTTGCACCTTGATACTATGTCTAGGGGATACTGGGGGGATATACAAATAAACAAATGATCATAGCTAACTTTATTTACCTAACCAAACACTGTTCATTGAGAGTCCTATTGTAGATCGGGTCATGATACTTCTTGTCTGAGTCTAAAAAAAAGTTGTAACAAAGACGACACACAAACACTAAACACTGCTATTAGGGCGAGACTCCCCTGCTAATGGAGAAAGATCTAATAAGTCCCCATCACAACACCCAGCCACACCCTCTTTGACCTCGACCTCCCCCACCCAGCATGGTAGCGTGACCCAACATAAACATGAACTACACACGTACACGAGAGCAGAATTACCCCTCAGTATATTAATTAAAAAAAAGAGCCTAGACACAGGTACAATACTAATTGAGGTACGAGGTTCTCAACAAACAGCCTATTGTCCCCAGGTCCCAGATCCCAATAGGCTTATCCCCGAAAAAAAAATAATAAGTCAACCAGTTTTTGGGATACTGGTTGATAAACACAAATTATCCAACTCGGTCAAGATGCTTGTTTAGATGTACCAAATATCGAACTAAATCCCAATAATTGTTTTTTTTTCCTCAAGTTACTGAACGAGCATATTGGACGGACGGACGGACGGAGGTAATAATGATTAACCCCCAATTCCTTTCAATACTGTATTCTGTAAGTGTGTGTGTGTGTGTGTGTGTGTGTGTGTGTGTGTGTGTGACCTTACCCGTTTCCAACTACACAAATGAAGCTTTCTGAAATAAATCCCAGAAATCTAACCGTACTGTAATGTTGTTCTCCAGCTGGTGCTACGAGAACCTAACTAGTTCAGGTAGTCTCAGGTAAGGAGGAGTTAATTAACTGTTTAAGGTGTAACTGGACATAAACAAGTAAGAGACGAAGTTAACGTAAGAATCATTGAGGATCCGAGCCTTAGGGCGCTGATACGAACAAAACTAATAATAAATAACGTTTGTCCCAAGTCTTACATAAGAGTATTTTACCGTTAACACACACACACACCAAGGAACCTTAACCAAAAAAGGAAAAATATTTATGAGTGAGGCCAACGGGTAAGGGAGTTTAGGAGGGAGGGGAGGAGAGGAAGGGGAAAAGGGGGGGGGAGAGGGAATCACCATCCCCCCCCCCCCTTACCACAGTGGGTGACCTGTTAGGGGGCGGTGTGTGGTGTATTGTTTTCGTTTATATTTTATGTCACCGATTTGGTATATATTTCCCCAACATGTCTAATACTGAACACTGTACCCAGGTGTAAGTGGGGTTGGGTTAGGTTAGGTTCAAGAATGTCTCATTTACTATCAACACGGTATTCTTCACCACGTTTGTATAGTATTGTAAGGAATTGTGTATTGTATTATCTCTATTGTATGGTATCTGTAACCCAATCTCAGGAATACAGTAGAGGGTAGATATTATTATTATACACGCACATAAACTCTCCTCACAAAGCAGTTATCAAACACAAGTATTAAACCCTCCTATTAAATTACGACCCTCAACACAGACAGCTGGTGACGTGTGGCAGCTGGCCGTGACGTCAGAGGTATCCAATCCGGATATTAAAACGTCAGCCGATACAAAGTTGGCGAGGAGCAAGAATTAAGAGGGAGGGAGGGAAGACCTTTATAGCCGGAGTGTCTAGCCAAACTACCGGATATTTTACACAATATCTCGATGTCTGTGCGAGTGTTTATCGGGAACGACAACCTTTAAGTCATACGCCTAAGAAAGGCTGTTATCGTTGTTATCTGTTTGTGATTATATTTCGCTAAACTGTTCTAAGGTGTAGAAATTGGTCAAATTAAACAGTGTACAGTACAATACTATTTGTGTCATGTAAACACTTACCTTCAGACATTGAATTTTAACCTAATGTTCGAACACACACACACACACACACACTTTGTTAGCCCACACTGATTAATCTTCAATTAGAATATGACGTCCAATATATATGAACCACTGTCTTGCATGGCAGTGAACAGTGACATCACCCACATGAATCTGACCTATATATACTGTTAATGAATATGATGTATTTCTTTGTGTACATGAACCTCTGTCCTGCGTGACAGTGAGAAGTGATACCACCCTCAGTGTCAAGACCTGACTGAATTACTCAGAATAGGCAAACTGTACTCCCAGCTTTGTCAATAAATTTGTTAAACTAAAAAAAACAAAAAAACAAAAAAACACACACACGCCGATTACAATAACCTTTAGGGGTCGTCAAACAGGAAACAGAAGGTTGAATCTGGGGCAGCCAAGACAGCGGAGACGGGACCCTCCAAATTATTTCCAAGTGAATTCAAGGTTCAGTAAACACAGCTCACCAGAGGGCTTGGAAAGCGAGGCTTACAACATCTTTACATTTTAATCCTGATAATGTGAGAAATAATCTGACTGACTCACTTATGTATGATGAAAAAAGATATATTATATGGCGTCAAAATTGCCCCCAGACTCTATCCAGGTTGGTTTTCACAGCAATAATTGGAGGGGAGTGCAAGACCACTGTGAACCCGTCAGTACAGTAGAATATGTCGTAACGGGAGAATTAGCTTAAGAATGTGTCAGTGACTTAATCTTGACCACGGGAAGGTAAACACCGGTACAAGTTCAGTCACGAAGTTCACTGCTTCAGTTACGTACACATACTGAGGCGGGCCATCGTGTGCACTGCAATAATATAGAAACTTTGTTATTACTGAACGTTACACACATGTACCCATGAGAACCTACAACACTATCTTCACCCCCCTTCCCTTTACCCCCTCTTCACCCCCCTTTCCTTTTACCCCCTCTTCACCCCCTTCCTCTCACCTCTTTTTCACCGCCTCCCTCCAATACACTGACACACACAAGAGAGGAATGCTGCTCCAAATGGCGCAATGTGTGTGTGTGGAAGGTGTGTCTGGTCCCCTGGTCTGGTCAGCTGTTCTAGTCAGCTGGTCTGGTCCTCCTCACACACCACGACCCACGTCAAACTGACTCCTGAAATGGCATGGGGCGACGTGTGGCGGCGCGCTGTGAAATATCCCGTCCTGTTTAATATGGTCTCGACGGATCAATCTGCTGGACTAACCTAACCTAACACCCCCAGAACACATCGCCCTGGGGAAAGGCATCAACAACACCAATCTGCCGCCGCTGATACGATCAAGCTGTGATGTAACCTTGATGTCAGGATGCGCTTCACAACCCATCCTTCTCAACCCGAATTCACGGACGATCTTACGTTAAATATATTATATAACCCGACTGGAGGTGTGAGAAGACTGAATCACTTACCGAACAGAACAAAGATGGCGGTTAGGTGAACATCAAGATTACGTTCTCATCCCAAAACTACGTTCTCTTTTTTTAGATTCATTATTTTTCTCCAGTGGCAAAAATAACGGAATCTTAGCGCGTACTGTACCAGAACTTTTCACGTAAACATCTCACTCGTGTTACTGGAACTTAAGGTTTATTCAGAGTTCTTTAGTGCCGGTACTTTATAGGGAGTGTACCGTATAAGTGTATTATACGAGGTGACGACGACACAGTCATCACTACACCTCTACACCTTCACCTTTTCATACTAATTGCCGCAACACCTGGAACTTTGGGACCCCATGAGATGTGACCACATTCTCGTACGTCACACAGCTGCGTGAGTATCGTAACATACAACGAGAAATTTTCCGAGACGTAGTGAAAGTGGCATCGATCAGTTCAACCAAGAGACACTGCCCGTGGGAAAGTGTCCGCAAGTGACCAAATTCACGGTGTAATTAGGTTGACCCTGAGAGTGGTGTAAAGTGACGGATGATAGTAATTATCAAGTCACTGTCCTGGTAAGTACACCCCGCTACAGAGATACGGGCCTATAATTTTTCCCGTAACTGAGTCGAGATAAGAGATTATGTCGTTTCCCTACAGTCTATAGCTAACCCGATAAGAGTCGAGACTGCCAGCACCTCGATTTAGTATCCATAACATTAAAACAATCCCTCGGTGTTAATAGGGAGGGGAAAAAGTGGGAGGGAGTGAGGGAATGGGGGAGGAGGGAGTGAGTGTGAGGAGTGTGTGAGTAAGGAGTGTTGGGGGAGGTAGGAGGAAGGGTAGTGTGAGAAGAACAGGAAAGAAGGAAAGCGTATGTGGAGAGAATACGAGGAGGGAGAAGAGATGGGGGAGGAGGGAACACAAGGAGGAACGAGGGAGGGAAGACGGGGGGTGAACCTACACCACGGACAAGGACAACAAACTAAGAAGTCCTGTAAGAGAGAAACAAGGACACATGCTCGACATTCCTGCCGTCTCTCTCTCACTACTGCTACCACCTCCCTCACTACTGCTACCACCTCCCTCACTACTCCTACCACCTCCCTCACTACTCCTACCACCTCCCTCACTACTCCT